ACCGTGTGTAGGGGTCATATTCTTTGTTAAGGTCTGATTTTGAATTTAAGAGTTTAAATTTTCCCTGAGCTCTTATTCATATGGTGAAATAGGATTTTACCCTTCTCATTAAAGTGCATATTCATGTCAACGTATTTGAAATTTACTAATAGCAGACTAAATGACTAATGGAGCAAAAGTCTATTTCATTCTGTTCATTGTTTTCCTAGTTCAAAAAATTAATTTACGTTTAATAAAAAAAATACATTTAGAGCTAGTTTAAGTTGAAGTAGACTTCATGAAATAAAATATCAGAACCAGTATTCTTTCAAAACTTTATGGTTACAGATTCTTAAGAATAAAAAAAATCATTTTTGTATAGGACCAATTAGTTTAAACATTCTTAAATAGGACTTTTTATGTGTGATTGGACCAAAATACCCTCACTACTGCCCCTCCACCTCCGGCCAGCCGCCTGCCGCCAGAGCTCCGGCCACCGCCACCGCCGCCGCTGCCGCCGGAGCACCGCCGCCGCTGCCGCCGGAGCACCGCCGCCGCCGGAGCACTGCCGGAAAATTCCAAAAAATGTTTGGCAGACTGCCAGATTCTGCCGCCGCCGCCGCCTCCTCCGCTGCCGCCGCCGGAGCACCGCCGGAAAATTCAAAAAAAATATCTGGCAGACTGCCAGATTCTGCTGTCGTCGCCTCCGCCACCGCCGGAGTTCTCCGCCGCCGCAATGGTGTTTATCAGAATTTATTGTTTATTTATTGTCTACTTATTGTCTATTTATTGTCTATTTAATGTCTGTTATTTTCTTGCCGCCGCGGGAAACCGCCGCCACTGCCGCCGCCGCCACCGGAAATCGCCTCTTCCGCTGCCGCCGAGCTGCCGCCACCTCCAGACTGCCTTGGTTGTGCAAGGAAATTAGGGGGGGCAATTATTTAGATCAATTAATTAATTAAATAGAATTAGGGGTAGAAAAGGTAAGGTTAGTCCTATTTAGAGAAAAACATGCATGTGGTCCTATTTTGAGAAAAAGGTTGAGTTTTAGTCCTATATTGGACAATAATCTCAAGAAACTTCCAGTGGAAAAGTATTAGCCATTGTTGAAATTTTCTGAAATGATAGAAAGTTGTAATTAGGTTATTACGTGTGATTAAAGATTTAAGAGAGCTTACCGGAAGACAGTATCAAGGTGCCACACTTGTTTGATTAGTTTGAGTTCAACCTCTATTAGGTAAGTTCACTACCACATGTACATGTTTGTTCAACCAAATGAAAGAAAGAAGTCTGGTTGATTTTTAGTAGGTGATTTTAGACTATTTGCTATTATGTGAGCTTGGTGAATTATTCGATGAGTTATTTTAATTGTTGTATTAAGTTATGTTTATTGTCTGACATTGTCAAGATTATGTTAGTACTTTATTTCAATATGTTAATGATGTTTTTATCCAAACGTCGTCATAAAAAAAAAAGAATTAGTAATTAAAGTGAAAGATTAAGTGATATGTACTCGGGAACAAGTTCTCACAGGGTTAACAGTTTCAGAGAATCCGATATGTTTAGTGGGTCATTCCCCTGAGCCGTCGGATTGACGCCTTTGAGTACATATCACTAGGGGCGGGCACAAAAGCCCGTAACCGTTTAACCATACCGAAAAACCGGAAAACCGTTATTTTTTTCGGTTAACCGTACCGATTTTAATTAAATCATGGTACGGTTAACCAACCGCAAGAAAAAACGGTACACAGTACGGTTATGGTTTTGAAAATAAGATATGGCCGGTTAACCGCTAACCGGTATTTCAAATAATACATGCTTCGTATGTACTATGTAACGAGTAAGCTAATTTAAGGTCGTTGGTCGTATATTTCAAAAAACACTACCTGGATTCCTAGATACATATGAAACAACTCGCCTACTTTTTATTCTGTAATAATTAATAAGATTAGAACTTCATCAATTCTCAAATAACTTTGATACCGGAGTATTAAATAGAAAGTTCAATATTAATCTTATTAGTCTAGCTTAAGTCGTACACAAATATAACGAAGTTTATATTTGCTGGAGTTTGTAATATATGTGACTCTGTCAACTTATTGAATTATATTTATAGTAGAATAGACATTGACTTGACTATGAATAAACTATAAAGTTTAGATAAATGTGATTGATACCTAAATATGGATAAAGTTTTAGAGAAATGACAGTATTTTAGATTTTAGATACGTCATTACTATAGTTTGTAGTATTATAATTATAGTTTGTTGGAGTTTGTATTATAGCATCTTGTTAAGTTTGCAGTATTATAATTATATATGTGGTGTATTATTTTAATTCCTGCATTTTTTGGGAAGTTTCTATTCATATTTGATTTTACTGTTAATATTTTGTGGTTTTATGGTTTTTGGTTAACCGCAAAACGGTTAACCGAAGTTATGGTTAACCGATACTCGGTTAACCGAAATGATGGTTAACCGATACTCGGTTAAAAAATAGTAACCGATTTCTCGGTTAACCGAAAGTTGGTTAACCAAAACCCGGTTAACCGACCATGCCCACCCCTACATATCACGGGTCCACAAAGTTAAAAATTTACCACAAAGAGTTTTACAGAAAGTTTATGAGATCTCTTTCAGAAAGTTTTACAAAAATGTTTTGAAAAAGTATTTCTTTTGAGATCTCTTTCAGAAGCTATTTGAGAAGTTATTTGTGAAATATTTGTTAGGTGCATGCTTATAGCCTAAATTTATCTATTGATAAATTGGCATAGAGTTCTAAATATTTTTGTGGATCCATAGTGACTTACTAAGCGTAAAGCTTATCAGTTTCTTTCTTCGCATGTACAGATACTAAGGGTAAGGCCAAGACCTAGAAAGATGATGAGGGAGTGGAACACATACCAAGAGGAGTTAACGAGAATGACCTTGGCGGCTTCTAACTAGTTATTATTTTATTTCAGTATTTCAGTTATTAGAATAAAAAGATTATTATTACTTTCAGAGGCGGAGCCAGAAAAATGTGTGAGGGGGGTCGAAATTTAATTATATACAGTATCAAAATGATGGATAGTTATTATACAATGCTTGAGTTAAATGTTTCATATGTAGTTGAGATGAATGGTAGTTTAATGAGAATTTTTCGGTTAATGTATTGATATATATGTAATGTATCATAATGTTCACACAACTAATGACTGAATAAGCTATTTTATTTTTAAATTTAAGAATATAATCAGCATCACACATCAAATTTTGCTTATTTCAAGTACTTAAGATGATGTTGATTTTTTCATAAGTCATAACTTCTTACTCGTAATGAGTTACGGTACCCATAATATATCAAATCGAAGGTATTTCAGAGCTCTACATTCTTGAACTTTCAGCGGGGTCGGCTGACCACCCTGACCCCCTTGGCTCCGCCCCTGATTACTTTATTTTATTTAAGGATTTGTACTTTGAATAAATTCCTGGATCCAGGTGGTTGTCACATCTGCTGGTGATAACTAGATTTTATTGAGTTTTTATTTGGAGTTATATTTTAGTTATATTTGAGTTTTTATCAGGGTTAATTTCTCAAACAAATGGTCATTATATTGCAGTTTTTTAGTAATAAGTTTATGTAGCATTTTCTTTAATCTTGAGAGGGGCGTTACAAATTTGGTATCAGAGCTCAGGTAGTCCCGTAACTTCATTTGTTACCGTACACGTGCTCATTATCTTCCAAGTAAGTATTTAAAGTTCGTTTTAAATTTCTATGCGTGAGCAAGAAGAGTTTATTAGATAGAAAACATAAGTGAGAATGTCTTGCCTTTTTGTATTGTGTATGGCACATAAATAAAAGTTTATATTTAGGTGCCTTAAGAAAATGAGGAGAACCCGTGGTCGTCCAGTTGGTAGCAGCAATGCGCGAGGAAACAAGAATGAGCAAGGAAACAATCACGAGCAGGATTTGGCAGGTTTAGTAGTGCAACTTCAGAGGCAGTTGCAGGAGCAGCAACAGACAATCGACCGTTTGACCGCAAGCAATCAAATGGACGGTGGTGAAGGGGGAAATGTTGGAAATAATCAAGCTAGGAGGGGAGCACCGAGACAAGAACCTTTGATGATCACATGGAGGAAGATCAAGCCCGTGGATTTTGAGGGGGTCCAGACCCTCTAGCTGCTCAGGGATGGCTGAAGACCATTGAAGGCATTGCTAATGGTTTGGAGTTGTCAGATAATGACAAGGTTCGATGCGCATCTTACAGCCTCACCATGGATGCTCGAAAATGGTGGGAAACTGTGGAAACAAGGTACAACATTGCGCAAATGACATGGGAGCAATTCAAAGAGGAGTTCACCAGCCAGTATTTCAATGCTAATGTCACACGTAGGTACCGGGATGAGCTTCAGAGTCTACGCCAGGGAACCATGATGTGGCAACCTTGGCGGCAAAATTTCAGAGGCTACTACGTATTTTCCCTACAGCTGTCCCGACAGAGAGAGAGAGAGAGAGAGAGAGAGATAAGGTGAGGATGTTCCTGACAGCTCTTAGGAAGGACATAATACTTCACTTGGAGAACGGTGACCAGACCCCAGCTACACTAGTCGACTGTGTTCTTATAGCAACTCAAAAGGAGTACTACATCTTCAGCAATCCAGTGCCCGCTCAGCCGCAGCCTGTGCCTTCACAGCCACAGAATCAGTCACAACGACACACGAACAATTTGAAGAGTAACAAGAAGATACTTTACGAGAAATAATGGCAAGGGAGCTAGTAACCATCAGGGACACCATAATAAACAGATGAAGTTTCCATCGTGTGCTAAATGTGGTCGTAACCATCCAGACCAATGCAGATTGGGTGCAAGAGGTTGCTACTCTTGCAATATCCATACCCTTGATATTTTGAAACCAGCGTCTGAAGATAAGTTTTAGAACTCGGTAAGATCTTTCCAACGAGATATTAAACGCTTTCAACTCAACAAAGAAAGAATCAACAAGGATATCAGTTTGTCCAGACATCAGGGAATTCAGTACCTTCAGCAGCTGTCCATAATATGCAGGCTTATCTAGAAGGACCATCCATCCAGCAAGGACGTCTTAAGGCACCACCAGGTCCACCAGTAGGCATAAATATGCATATTCATTGCAGTGGCACTGCAACATCTGCGTTTTCAGAATTTGGAAAGCCAGTAAACTCATTTCTCTAATTCAGTAAGAAAAAACAGAGACATGTCTCATTTTTTGGTTTTGGAAAACAATTTGGTGAGTGTTTTTCTATTTTCGTTTCTCCAGTTTTCCAACAATGTTTTTTGTAAACACATTTTTTTCTTTTTTCAATTTTCCACTTTTCTAAAAAAATGTAAATTATCTCTGTTAGTAAACACATTCATTCTTTTTTTTTATTGAAAGGGTAAAAGGTCAAATAGGTTCTCGAACTAACTAAAAAAATGCAATTCACCCCTTATACAACAGGCTTTGTGCGGCCGTCGCTAATTGGGGCGGTCCCTGGTGGATTTTTTTGATGAAATTTTTTGAGCATCTTCTTTAGTAAGTCTAGTTTACCCGTACCCTCCCCAACTTCCTCATCATCCTTCTCTAGCCTCTAGGCCGGCCAAGTCCTCTCTTGCCTCCCCCAACGTACCAGTGAACAAAGGCTCGTTTACAATACAACAACTTGGTATCAATCCTAGAAAGCCTGAAGTGTGGAACTCATTCACATCCACGTTTAAAGCTCCATCAAAACGGAGGGAAGCTGTAAGGGAACTAGGGAAGAAATGACTTTAGAGATTAACCTGTTGAGATTTGTGTATGTTGGCCTTTCAATGTCGAGACATTTCCGGCAGATCTCATAGATTGCTTCGTTGTCATGCAACACAGCAACGTCAGTGTGTTCGAGGAGCGAGTGAGTGGAGAGAACAGAGTTGTAAGGCTCAACCGCGGCTGTAGAGACTTGCGGAGACGGGTAAATGGTGAATCCTAGCTTGGATTTCTTTCCATAATCAACAGAGAGCCTTTCCAGGAGGAGAGATCCTACGCCAGTTCCAGTACCACCCCCACAGCATGGAACACCAGAAACCCTTGCAGACCACTACAGTTATCTGCCAGCTTTCCTATCCTGTCCAAACAGATATCCACAATCTCCTTCCCGATCGTGTAATGGCATCTGGTGAAATTGTTGGCGGCATCTTCTTTACCGCTGATGAGTTGTTCAGGGTGGAACAGTTGGCCATAAGTTCCTGTTCTGACTTCATCGATGACGGTCGGCTCCAGATCTACGCACGAGGGACGTGCTTTCCTGCTCCTGTTTCATTGAAGAAGGTATTGAATGCGTCATCACCCCCCACTACAAAAATATCAGTGATTAGTGACCAAATTTGTCACTCATAATAAAATAAATTGAGTCACAGAATAGATTATTCACTACCATAGTAACTAAATGTGAGTGGTGCCTTATTCTTGGTGACAAATACATAGGCACCACATTCAGAGGGTGAATAATACACTCACTTGCCAATTAGTGAGAAAATAGGTGAGAGTTTGTGAAGGAGCACCAGCCATATAATTCATTATCACTTACTTTGTCACCACATATGAGAGTGAATAATTTACTCAACTCCAATACATGAGAGATTTGAGTGACTTTTATTTTGTAGGGTAATTTCATTGTTGCTAAATTGAAGTAACTATTAATCAATAAAATTAAAATGTAAATTTCATTTAAAGATGTGTGAATTGAAATATATTAAGACGGACAAAATTGATTCATAATACAAAGTGATCCCAAGATTCTTGATACAAAGTGACACAAAGATTCATGATACAAAGAGATAATTTCATTAAGATTGGAAAAAATTGACATAACAAGCAATTCCTTTGCTATCATTTTCTTCAAAAGCTGCTCCAACGATAACCGTTGGAATTAAGCTTCTACTAACTTTTGAATGAATTTGCAAGAATATACTCCTAGTTTCATAAGGATGTCCATTTGTTGATGTGAGTCTTGAGAATGCACACAGTATATTTGATAGGAGTAAGTGCACATATTTGGAAATGGAGGAGGAGCGTAGCTTGAAATCCATCTTCATAGATGCTATTGTTATTGAGTTTACAAAAAGTGGTTCCTGAATTCACAAGTAACTTTATTGTAAGACACTACTGCATGCGAACATATGCATGAGTTCAAATAAAAAACTAATCCTAATTAATTAATTAATAACATAATAAGTAATAAAATAGTGCAACTAGGAATATGTCGGTCTGACAATAAACTTGCAATTTCTCTATATTTGACCGTAGTAACTGACAATAAAATATCATAATGTTGATGTTGGAGGTATTGGTCCTACCAAGGCCTCCCTTCCATTCTATTATTGACTTGCACCCCATGTTTACTCCCACTTTGATACCCCTTGTTTTTGAATCTCTGCTAACCAATACTATGGCTACTTTGACTTATGTGGAGTGACCCCAAATTGAGTTGTCTGCTGCGGTCCTCCCCCTTTGTCTTTGCATCACCCGTGAGTGTCATTGCTACTGGGCTGGTAGGCTTATGGGCTATTGGGCTTTGGGGATACTGGATTCCTGAAGGAAAGCTGGACCTGGGCTTCTAGAGGTGCTGGACCAGGCTGTTGGGCTACCAAGCTGCTGGACTTGACCTGGACTGCTGGACTGGTGTTGGGCTGGTGAACCTGGACAGCTGCTGGACCGCCGGTCAACGCCGGTCAAATTCAATCAACAGTCCTAAAATTCCAATTTTAATTGGGTGGGTAAGGTCGAAATGCCTCTCCTAGGGTTTCGCTCCGGTATATTGACTTGAAACTCACTTTTATCGCTTTTGTAGTGATTTAGTCTTTTAAAATTGATTGAATTGTTGTGCAAAAAATTTATTATTTATTTGTGCTTATACGAAAGAACAAGGGGTTTGAACTTGAGTTTGGTGCTCAATATTACTCCCTGTGTGTTCGTGCTAGTTGCTTCGTATATTTGTAGCCTTATAAATATTTAAATTGTTTTTCAGCGAAATTTAAATTTTCTTTTGTTGCTTGTTTTTCTATGTGAAAATGTCTTCTTATAATCATTATGGTATGACTCCATTTAATGGAAAATCTGATTTTAGCATTTTGAAGCAAAAAATTAAATGTATTTTAATCCAACAAAAATGTTTTTAAAGCATTTGGTGAAACTTATTTAATTTCTGACACAGGTGATAAAAGAGCTTAAATGAATGAAAGTGCATGTTCTGTGATTTATTTGAACTTATCTGACTCTGTGATTAGAAAAGTTGGAATTTTAGAGAGTGCTAAAATTTTGTGGAATAAATTAGATGAATTGTATACTGAAACCTTTTGCCTAGCTGGATGTTTTTACTTGAGAAGTTCTTCAAATTTAGATTGGATATGTCTAGGAATATTGAAAAAAATCTAGATGTTTTTACCAAATATATTTTTGATATTAAGTTGTGTGGTGATAAACATATAGATGATTATTCCCCTATTGCTCTTTTAAATGCTATTCCTGATTCCTTTAGTGATGTGAAATCTGCTATTAAGTATGGTAGAGATAATGTGACTCTTAACATTGTGGTTAATGGTTTCAAGAGTAAGGAATTAAATTTAAAACAGATGGGTGGGGGTAAAAAATTCGAGGGGGTTATGCATGTGAGGGGTAGAGAAAATAATAGACGACATATATCTAAGTCTAGGTCTAATTCGAGACGTTGCTATTATTGTCATGAACTTGGTCATTTCATAAAAGACTGTCCTAAATCTATGGAAAATAAGCATAGTGAGCATGCTGATTTGACTACGTGTGAAGATGATTTAGGTGATGTTTTATGACAAATCTATGTGATTCTGACTATTTGAGTTCTGTGATATCTGATTCTTTGGGTAAATCAGATTGGGTGGTAGATTCTGGTTGTACTTTTCATATGTCCCCTTTGAAAAATGTTTTTTTCAAACTATAGAGAGATTGAGCATGACTCTGTGTCTTTGGCAATGAGAAGAAATGCAATGTGCTAGGAATAAGAGATGTATGCCTTATGTTTTCTTCTGGTTGTAAGCTTACTTTGAAGAATGTTAGACATTTTTCTGAGCCGTGCTGTAATTTGCTATCTTGTGCTTCTCTTGAAAATGATGGTTTGAAGGGAAAATGGGGAAAGAGAATCATGAAAGTTGTGAAGGGTTGTTTAGTTGTTTACAAAGCTGAGATGAAAAACAACTTGTATGTTTGTCACGCTGAACCTGTTCTTGATTCTGTGACTTGTGTGCAACCCTGTGTGCTAGGAATACAGTCTAGAGTTAGTTTTCCTAATCTACCTAAGTGTACTGATGTGCTTGATTGTATTCATGCTTATCTTTGGGGTCCTTGTAGTGTTTCCACTCATGGTGAGAAAAATTATTTTCTGACTTTGGTTGATGTTTTCAAATAAAGTGTGGGTTTTGTTGATTGAGAATAAATCTGATGTTTTTGATAAGTTTAAAAACTGGAAAACCCTTGTTGAAAATCAAACTATTAAGAAAATAATGTATTTAAGGACAAATGTCAGTTTTGATTTTTGTGATGATCAACTTGGTGATTTATGTGATACTTGAGGTATTTCTATGCATAAATCTGTTAAGTTCATAGAAGAAACTACCTAGTCTACACTTAAAGTTTGTGTTTAAGTTCAAAGTTAAACTAGCTGAAAAGTTTAAACTTCAGTCTCTAGAGTTTAAAAACTAGAAAATATAAAGCTAAAAAATTAAACTTGTAAGATTCAGTTTCAAGAGGTGGTTAAAGTAGCTGAAAGTTAAAACATGAACTTCAAAATTAAATGTTTAAACTTTAAATTTAGTAAAAGTGTAAGTTTAAGTTTTCTGAGTTTTAGTTAGCTGATAGTATAAACTAAAACATTAAGTGTTTCTAAATTGTAAACTACAAGAGTTTTAAATTTAAACTTGAAAATCTAAAATTTAAACAACCTCTTGTTGAACTTGAAGTTTTCAGTTTAAGTATTAAAGTGTCAAGCATTAATATACAATCCGATTCAAACTTACCGTTGAACTTGAACAGTCGAACTAAAACTTGAACTTGAAATATAACAATTTTATCAAACACTTACAAGGTAAGTTGAAACATACAAACTTACACCTGAACGTGAAATATACAAACGTACAAATCAACCAGATTCAACTGGAGCACTCAGTATATACCTGAAAATCTGGAGATCCAAAATACTAAACCAGTCATTCCCAGTATTCTTTTTCAATAGATGGTGGTCTATAATTTTCTTTTCAACATTTTTATCTTTTGTAAAGACTTGGAAATTAGAAGAACATCAAACGTCATACAAAACTAATAAAAAATAATACTTGAAACAAAACTGAGGAATATAAATGTAAGACTATCCTGTGAATATTTTAATATATATAATCAAAGAAGCTCATCTAAATGTTAAGTTATATCCCTGAGCCGCAGAACATGAGACCCACTTGATTGGTGCATTTCAAGGAACAAATGGAAGACTTATAAAGATATAAGTCATTGAAAGATAATCTCTATGCAATAAAATATTGCATAATCTGTCAACTTCAATGTTCTTGAATCTATCCAAATTATTGATCATACAAAACATAAGTCATTTTAAAAGTGGAAAAAAGAAGAAGAAATGAACAAACTATTGCCAGAAGCTAAACAATCACCCAGGGAAAGAATGCTACATTCTGAAATCTTATTTTTGCAGTACGCAGTGGTATATGAAAGAGGCAACGAGCCTAATAAGATTGAAATTAAAGCTACCTTTAACATATGGAATCCTAAGGTTGAACAAGATTATATCAGCATCTCACAGATGTGGATAAAAAATGACCTCACAGGG